TTCTCTACGTGAATTTACAGTGCATTAATTACAAGCAAGAAGAAATTACCTAAAATAGCTTTGTTTTTTTAACCATATGTTTAAGAAATTAAGTATGCCTTCATCTCCTTTGCCTCCTAATTAATTCTGACATAATAATATATGTAATTATAGATTTATGGTCTAATAGGCTACAGTAAACTAACATTTTTCATTGACTTTCCTCGCTTTACTTATTTAGTCCACGTTTGTAACATACACCAATATAAACAGAAAATACAGTACTTTTATTTTTAAATTAATACATCCCTCTAATTCAGAAAGGTATTCTCCAGAGTTATTAATAACTCATTTGGACAACTCAACATTTCACCCTACACACACAGAGTTAACTCAGTGTTCTCCTAGTTGCTCTAATATTGGAAGGTGAATGGCCTAACCACAATTATAAGCTCAGTTTCTTCTTAGTGCCATAGAAAGGAATCCTATAACTGAGCTCAAGAGTTCAACATTAAATTAAGCTTAATATTGGCCACATATTAAAATTAGTTTATTAGTAATGGTCACTCAGTGCTGTCCTATGGCTAATTTATTTTTATTTTCTCTGTCATCAATTCCAGTTGCTCCATGACAGGGTTTTTAGTCCTTACCATCTTGCTGTAGTAAGATGCCTACCAAATGCCTACTACTCTTTTTCACTTGCTGCATACCTGAATAGGCATACATTCTGGGATGCATTGCGGCTTAGACCATTTCTTTACTGGGTCAGTAAGTCCCTGAATTAAATAAACTAAACTCAGATCTAGTACGCATGTTTTGATCTGAGCCACCTTTGATTCACCTAGAACTACAATTAGAAAGTCATGTGGTTATATGGAAGAAATATGGTCTTTGGTGTCAGATTGGCTCTATCTGAATATTGTCTGCCATTTACTAGCTGTGGGGCCTTGGGAGAAAAAACTACTTAACTTCTCCAACTCTCTTTATTATCATCTATAAAATAGGCATAATAACTGCCTTAAAATTTTTCTGTGAATATTAAATGAGACAAAATATATTAGATGTCTGGTACAGAGTAAGTGGTTAAAAAATTTTTGGTTTCATTTCCCTTCTTTTTTTTTTTCTCATTTGGCCCCACTGCTACTTAATTTCCAGTTGTGACTTTCAAGAGATCAAGAAAAAATAGAGCATTGGATGTTCAAGGAACTGATAGCTTCTGTTTTATACACAGAAATAAACTGTTTTGGAGTAACTGCCATAAATTACCAATTTGAAATTAATATATATATTTTTAATCTGGAACAAAGAACTTGAGAAAAGCAATGATAGTCTATTGAAGTTCATTGTCAACTAGATCCAACAATGAGGCATATATTGTTAGTTGCTTTCTGCAAGTGCTGGTGGTGAGATAACCAAACTCTCACCTGTTCATCCTCATCACTTACCACACAGAACTTGCAGGACAGCTGGTGGCAGAGAGTTCAAGAGTACTGCCTATAGTTGTGCAACTGAATAATGTTGTCTGACCTATGCTGGGAGAGTATCATGCTTTCATTACTCTCATGCTTTGTTGATACACTGAATTAAATAGCAACAGACCTTTAAAAATATCTGGTCTATCTCTGAGAAGTACTTTTCCATATCCTAAACTTGCAGAGCTTCCCAGAACAGCCACATTACATTTTGAAAGTGAGTTAATGGATGGAATCTTTTGACAATAGTCCCCCAGAGATCAGCATGACAATCTCCTCATCACTTCCTGATTAGCCTGATGGTAACAGAGAAAGCCATTCTTATGTCTCAATACCCTGGATTCTTTTTCTAAGCAAAGGAGAAGGGTTGCATTTTAAATGTACTTACACATCTGCAAAATTGCTTTGAAAAAAACCCCAACAACATTATTTTGGCAGTACAACCACATTTTTAATAACCTTGTAATTGTTGTGCCAAAGTAAATTTATCCTTCCATGGCCATCACTTAGCATTTTAATAAAGTCTTCAAAACCTTTTGAGAGATATGTAATATCTGGAGCTGTGTCATGAAATAAGAGGCCATGGGTAATGAAAGGCATTTATAGCTTAGCTGCTTTCACAACTAAGCTATTTTTGGCAAATCTTCAACTTCCATCACCCAATTTTCTCTCCCAAAGCAGTCACTCAAAGAAACAAACAAAAAAGGCACACACTTTACTATTTCATTTTCAGAGCTTGATGGATAATTGAGGTAACCTAACTGCTTTTTTCCCCAAAAGGTATGTTTTGAGATTATTCTAATTTCCTTTAAAAAATGTGAGAGTTTCCAAATATTACCTGATTTGTACAACTTTACTAATTATTTCACTGATCTTGCTATCTCTAGAGGGTCCAGTTGACTCTCTATTTCTGCCAAATATGAGCCCTAGATTGGATTAAAAATCTGAACTACAAAATTCCAAAATCTTTCCTTCATTTCTACCTCCATACCTATTCTTGACAAAGAATATCATCTCCTCCTCTGTCCATGATATCACATTGATCCTTCCACATGAAATATTTCACAGTTACTTTAACCTAAAATTATAGTTCCTTTTTCTGAATTTCCATTGCAGTGTTAGTTTCCACCACACATCAAATTGTCTGCATTTATTCTTTTTTATACCATTCTTCAATTCTTTTATAGATGTTATTTTGTCTTCCCAGAAAGTTTAAATATTACTTGAAGTCCCCATTAATTGAATATTTAACTTTTTGGTATAATGCACAGTGAACCAAATAGTCAATGAAGTAGGCATTCAATAAACATTCATTGCACAAAAGCTTACAAGTTACAAGGCAAAATATGAGCTGGTATCCATAAATTTATAATACCTATTACGGCTTTGGAAAATTCTTTGATGCCATTGGTTTTGTCACTGTGTCCAACTATTTGGTGTCTATATTGTACTTTAATCTCATGTAATCCAATTAAGATATTTTTACTAAACAGGCATTTCTAGGTAAACCAGTCAATGATTGAATAGTTTGATAGGCATAAAAGGGTTTGCTCGGGCTTCCTTGCCATTATTCGGGCAAAAAATGCATAAACTATGTAAGTACAACTTACCAACTATTAGGCATTAGCCCAAGTTGCATTCATCCCTCTGACATAGCAAGTGTTCAAAAAGCTTTAATGCTCCACCGGAATTCTATTGCTAAAAACAAGTTTTCTTTTACATTAGGACAAGGAAATAATAAACTGAAGAAAAATATAGTCAAAGTTGGGGAATCAAGAAATTTCTTTTTTTTTTTTTTTAAATTTTTTTAATGTTTTATTTATTTCTAGGAGAGAGAGAGAGGGACAGCGTAAGCAGGGGAGGGTGAGAGAGAGAGGGAGTCACAGACTGAAACAGGCTCCAGGCTCTGAGCTGGCAGTCAGCACAGAGCCCAACTCGGGGCTCGAACCCACGAACCGCGAGATCATGACCTAAGCGAAAGTCGGACGCTTAACCGACTAAGCCACCCAGGCGCCCCTAGGAATCAAGAAATTTCTTAATAGTGAGCCGTGCTAGGCAAGTGAACAGATTCTTCTGGGAGGAGTGTTGGAAACATGTCATTTTCATCTTTCAATGAGATTGAAAACAACAACAACAACTCAATAATGTACAGACAGGGACAAGTCTCCCTGGCAGGAAGATATAGACTTAGATACCTAAAAGGTTATTTCCATCATGAGTTGTGTTGCTTCACAGCACTGACCATTTCTTTCCATTACTATTTTATACTTATCCACTACACCCAAACATGCATACACAAATACACACACATTCCATATATAAATTGAAACACATGGTATTTGAGTCTGTTATCTTTCTTTAAAAAATATGTGTGTGAGTGTGTGTGTGTATGTATATATATATATACTGTTGAAATATAACAACATATTTTGATTTGGGGAATAATAAAAGATTTTGGGGTTTTTAAAGCCCACTCTGAAAGGCAAACATTTCAGGTAAATTTAAGAAAGTGAGCCAAGTTTATGGCTTTATCCTAGACCAAGATTAGTAATCTTAGGTGAGGAAAGATGGCCATTGTAATTTCAGAGCAATCAATCTGTATATCAATGGTAGAAAAAAAAGCTGGGGGAGTGTGCTTAATTAAATTGAGGGAGGAGGATGAAATTTAGGTTGGAAGAATAGAAAATGCCTTATGCAAAGAAGTTACAAGGTGAAATCTGAGCTAATACTAATAAATTTATGATATCTGTTATGCCTTTTATTCCCCCTCCCACTTGTAGAGAAGTTTACAAAGCTCTATTCTAGGAAATCTAACACACACACACACACACACAAATACACACACACACACACTCACACACACCAACATACAGAGCCAATAAACTAGAAAGAAGGATGAAGAGGAAAAACATAAATTGAGGGGCTAAAAACTAAAAGCTAGTATGATTCTTAGGGGAACTTTTCTGTAGTGTTATCTTTGTTTCATCTTCACAAGACTCAGATTGAAAAGCAATTTAACCCCACAAACTTCTGTTCCCCACCAAGTATGCATCTTCAAAACTGGAATTTTAAATTACAAGAGTAAGCATGGTACTTTGCTCAATGTTTGTATTTCCAAACTCTAGGAAGAGACATGATGGTAACTACCTTTTCTAAATAAAACTTCAGAAATAATTCTTAACAAAGTATCATGTTTCCATGATTCTTCTAAAATCTTGAAATGATTTGTCTTTTCATCTGGCCTGCAACAGGGTAAATTTAGCGAATGCTCTTACCATCCATCCATCTACTACTATGCAAAAAGGAGTCCTACATTTAGCTTCAAAGGAGTGTCACAGATTTATCCCCTCCCCCTCTTCACTCCTTTTTTTCCCTCCCTTCCTTAGCAACTGGTAACCTCAGAAAGAGAACTCCAAATCTAGAAAGAAGCAGTTGGTCCCTGGCTTCATTCGAGTTGCCAATCTGCTCTAAGGCAGAAGCACGAGTCGTCTCTCCAGACCGAGTTGGCCTGCGTGGGCGTTCAGCTTATTTTCTCCATCACCTCAGAGAGGCTTTCCTGACCAACTTTCTCCATGGCTTGTATTGAAAATGTGTAAGTACAAAACTGAGTTTTGTTTAATTCTGAAGGCAAAAGGCAGTTTGAATTGTTTTCCTGTGTCACTGGGGCAGGGACAAGTGGGTGCAGGGAATGCAAGAGGGAATCACAGACAAAAACTTGCAGGACACAAACTCAAATACTAAAAATACTGGATTTAAGGGTGGGGATTTTAAAATGTAATTTTGAAAGAAAAGTTGCAAATTCTTAGTCTAATCAGTTGGGTTTAAACTTGAGGACATACATACCCTAGGTTTTGGTACAGGTTGAATGAAAGACAGTTTTAACAAAACTCGGTGAAAATGTTGAATAATGCTTCATAAAGACAAACAAATTGGAGTGTTTGTTAACACAAATAACCTTTCTTCTGCTTCTGCAGAGGAAAAAAAAAAGTTTTTCCTCACAAGACTTTCCAGAACACTCCTTCCAGAATCCAAATGGTGGGCTTTAATGGATTATAGGTCCTATCTGGATGGAACAAGCTGTGTTTATTTACTATGGCAAATCGGCGCACTGCAGACTTATTTAAGGAAGATCTCTGGGTCTTCTCAGCTTCCTTACTGCCTTGATTGAGGAGGTGGGGAAATGGGGAATGGGGTGGAGCCACAAGAAAGCCAGAATGGTAAATTGGGTAGTTTGTTGCTCAAAGAAGCCACCTGATAAGGTGAAAGTGGGCTCCAGAAATACTTGCTGATTACATGTGGGAGGAGATCGGGCTCTCCCTTTCTTCTGGTATATTCCAGGGAGTTTAATCAATCACATATTTCAGGTATTGTCTGGCCACCGATCCCATTTTTATTAACTTATTTATTTCTATTTTTGCAAGCCTTGGAAGGCACGCCCCTTCACCCAAAGGAGTAATTGCAGACGAGTGTGGGATCCGGGAGCCGAACCCTGACGACGTGTCACTCCAGTGTCCAAGTTCTGTGCCGAAAGATGATGCGGAACCTTGGGGCCACCATCGCGTCCTGCTGAGACCTCAGCTTAATGTGCTGACCAACCTGGCCAGAGAGCAGCTGGAGCTGGAGCGCCCCTCAGAGATTGCAGGAACATGCATTCCTGTCGACAGTTCGAGAGCTCACAAACACCCCTATGGGCCACCACCTGCTGTTGCAGAAGAGTCCCTAGCAACAGCAGAAGTAAATAGCTCCGAAGGGCTGGCAGGCTGGAGGCTTAGGGGACAGGATTCTATTAATGTATCCCAGGAATTCTCTGGCAGCACTCCCGCACTTATGACAGGGGGCGCAAGGGTCAGCAGTGGGGGCACCGAGAGAGGTGGCAATAATGCAAGGTTATATGTGGCTTTGTCACGAGGCCAGGGGTACTTTCCACCTAGGGGTCTACAAGTAAGAGGCCCCCCACATATCCCCACTGTTAGATCAGGGGTCATGATGGAGCTGCCTCCAGGGAATACAAGAATGACTGGCAAGGAAAGGCTGGCTCATGTTTCTTTCCCACCTGGAGGCCCGCGGCACCCTGTGGAGAATTGGCCAAGGCCTCTCCCACTGTCTTCCAGTACTTCAGGTTTACCTTCTCACCCTACTGCTCATTGCTTTATACCTCCTCGATCTCCAAGTTTCAGTCCATTTCTCTCTATGCCTATTGCTTTTGCTCCACCCCCGATATTTAGTCCTCCACTGCCTTCTTATTTTGCCAATTTTCCTTCCTGGGGCATGCCGGCTCCTGCGCCCTCAAACAGAGAGAACAACTGATGACAAAAAGGAAGGAGGGGGAAAAGGATTCGGGGGAGGAAGTGAAAATTACTCATTTATGTTTTAATATTTCAACCCCCTCTACCCTCTTAGACTCTGTTTAGCACTAATGTGCCTTACATGCTTCGAGATTCAATAAAGATTCTGAAGTTTGAAATAGTGTGAATTCTTTTTAAAAACACGACCCTGGGAGCCTAAACCTTGGCTTTTGTTTTCTACCTTTAAGGGAATTAAAGCAGTAATGTGCTAGTAATTTCTAAGTAGCTTAGTTGAATCCCTATCCTTGGCTTGCAGCCCTGTGATTCTGGGGGAGGGTCCTTTGGGTTCTTACTAGGCCAAATCTAGGGTGGTTAATTCCTACCTGCCTAAGGGTATGGGGGTTGCTCAGAGCAGAGTGGACAACTCAAAATAAGGTACATAAAGTAGACCAAAGTCTAGGTAATAGAGAAAAATGCACAAAGAGTAAAAATAGCCAGATGCGACTGAGGTGAGAAATAGCCAACATTTCACAATCAGAGGCAGAACCAGGCTGAAGATGAGGAAAGAACAGAGGCACGGGACATGGGAGAGTTGTAGATCATTGCTTCAAACTTGAACTAGCTTGTCCCTCTGCATTACACTGCCACTAAGTACATAGTATATACAGAGTTGGTTTGATAAAAGTCCAGGGACAAGGTGGAACAGGACTGGTCCCTTCACCTGTTGCCTGAACAGAGAGCTACTATCTATCTACTCAGAACTTTTTTTTTTAATGTTTTATTTATTTCTAGGAGAGAGAGAGAGAGACAGCGTGAGCAGGGGAGGGTCAGAGAGAGAGGGAGTCACAGACTGAAACAGGCTCCAGGCTCTGAGCTGGCAGTTAGCACAGAGCCCGACGCGGGGCTCGAACCCACGAACCGCGAGATCATGACCTAAGCGAAAGTCGGACGCTTAACTGACTAAGCCACCCAGGTGCCCCTATCTACTCAGAACTTTTAAACACAAATGATAATGTTTTACTCACGTAGAATTATTGTCTCAGATACTGCTGTGTTTGTACTCTTTAAAATGTGCTGCAGTGCCCCATTATAATGATAGTTCTGAGAGAGTATCACAATGCCTGGATAGTAACTTTTTCAAATTTAAGTGACAGGTAGAGTCACAGCATGCAGAATGGAAAGACGGTCATTTTAATTACTGTACAGGGCAATTCACTGTACAGTAAAGTGCCCTAAAACAAAGTATAACTATCTATGAATAATCACTAAATTAGAAATGTGTTTAGGGGATGATTCTTCAAATAAACATTTTTCATGTCCAAAACCGATGGTATAGGTGATATAAATAGTTAAAGTCTGACAAAACCTGTAGATCCAAAAGGTGCCTAGCCTATACCACAGCCATTAATGTGTTTTTAGCACCAATAACTGATTTTTGCTATTGTTGTCCAACATGAAGGACACATGGATCCATAAAGTTTCTTTTTCTCCATGTATTTCATAGTAGATTGTTTTAAATTTATAGGTGGTAGTGCAAAGCTTAGAGGGAACATCTGGATAGTGCTTGCTAAAATTCCCCTCATTCCATGTACGTCCTAAAGCTGGCACAATTCCATCAATTCATTGTGGTGGGCTGAGCAGAAGTATTCAGCAAATCATCTGACAGCTGCTCACTATGAGGTAGCTTAGTCCCAGAGTACCAAACACTGACTGAATTTTCAGCCTTAATGAACAGAGGAATTGGGCATGCTTATACTCATCAAAAATATCTTTTGAGCCAGATGTTAAAAGATATTTTGACAAGAAATCAAGTTGTTGTGTCAACAGCAGTGCTGCATCCTTGGAGAGTTGCCAAAAGGTGTGTAAGTGACAGCGAGACAGGATAAGTTTTCCTTCTCAAAGGAAGTAGCATGGTAAAGACTCAGAAAGATGACTCACAATTAAAGCAATCCATGACAAATTCTCTGTAACAAGAATGTGCCATCAGCGCAATCTGCACTTTTTAAACCCTCTGTTCTCTTTCCTAACACCCTCTGTGTTATTTTCTATGTCACTTCTAATCATTGAATACCTATGAGCAATAAAAACTATTACCAAATCGAGCCATTGAAGCTTTATTTATAATTCTGTGATGTAGGATAAATATATTTTCTTTAGTTTATGTAGAACTCTGTGCCTACATAAAAAATTTTAAGAAATGCAAGTATGGAATAAGTCTGGGATCCTGTTGTTAAATGCAAGCAAAATGTAAATATTTTTGTTTATTCATACCCTCTGTACAGAAATAATATATCACTTTGTTATCATAGGTGCCTACATCCTCCATGACAGTAGGAGATTAATTTTAAACATATGATGTGCCTTAAAATTGTTATTTTTGAATTATCCTGGTATAACATAAGCCAATATTAACCCTACAGTACCAACATCCTATTCATTTTGGAAAGTGTTCATAACGCAATATATTCAACACTCTTTTTTTTTCTGAGAGAGAGAGAGAGAGAGAGACAGCACGAGCAAGGGAGAGTCAGAGAGAGAGGGAGATACAAAATCCAAAACAGGCTCCAGGCTCTGAGCTGTCAGCACAGAGTCCAACGAGAGGCTCAAACCCACGAACCGTGAGATCATGACCTGAGGCAAAGTCAGATACTTAACCCACTGAGCCACCCAGGCACTCCGATATAGTCAACACTATTGAGCATATACATTTTCCCTTTCTTTTCTGTGGCTTAAATAGCTCTTAACTGCAAAAGGAAAAGATAAACATCAACAAAGTGGCCCTTTCTTCTGACAATAATGGGAATGGGTTAAGTATTTACTATTCTAAGTTATAATCATTGTCACAAGAAGATTCATGTTGTACTGTTTATTATTTATAGTTCTCATTATATTCTTTGTCACAAGACTGTAGCATCAGAATTTTAATGTCCTATATATTCTCTAGAAGATAATCATAAACCGTACAACTTTGACCTTTTCCATGTCCCAAGTATTATTCATTATTTCTATTTTCCAGTGTTTACAACTTCTGTAGCCCGATGGAAGAAGTACACATGGAGCCAATCAAACTGCAGAATACTGAAAAGGTTAAAGTTCAAAGTTATGAATTTTTTTGAGTTTATAGCCTTTCCTAAACCAGAAGACATTAAAAGTACCCCTCATTTTTTTTCTGAGAATTATTATAACAAATACTAAGCAGGACCAAATAGTTTATTTTCACTGGAGTATTCAGGTTAAGACCATAGTGCTATCTTTATCTACTATGGCATAGGTGAGTTTGTGGGGGTTTTGTTTGTTTTGTTTTGTTTTGTTTTGTTTTGTTTTTTCTGGTGGCTGCCACTGAATAACTAGGTAGCATACATAAAATGGAGAAGAAAGATATCCTTACATAACTATTACATTATGCTATAACAATGTTTTTGGATTATTAAGTGTTATTGAGAGATGCTGATTTTTGCAGGCCCTAAATACAGAACTATATAAAATGACTCTATTTCAAGATCAATGTACCAAAGCCAGAGATAAAAGAAATTTTAGACAGACTAAAGAACACTATGTCATGGGATGCCTGACTGGCTCAGTCAGTGGACCATGCAAGTCTTGATCTTGGGATTGTAAATTCGAGCCTTACACAGGGTGTAGAGTTTACTTAAAAAAAAAAAAAGCACTATGTCATATCATAAGTTGAATCCATAGCTATCACAAAACTTTGCATGTTTTTTTTTTGTAATGAGCTATATTTAGTGACACTCCCACAGAAAGAACAACTAATTAGACTAAATTAAATGAAATAACCCATCTATTTCTCTGTAGTAAAATTCATTTTTTCTTACATTAATGAAATGTATTGCATTTATCAACTCAACTCTAGATTTGAGAAGTCAGAGAAATTGTGCTTCATCATACAATCTTTTCCTTAAGTACTTGAGAAGGCGGTACTCTTACTAAAGACTGATTAAATATATATGCTTTTTCACCCATCTTTGGAGACTTCGCTGCCAGTCAGAAAGGCTTTCTCAGTATCTTGATTTCTCAGAAAACTTATCTGTGGTACTTATTTTCATGAAGTGACTCCACCATTGTTTTTTGAGAATGGACCAGTATCCCATATGATTTAATGGAGGTAAACTGACTGTATTTTTTTCAACTCTGAAAATCTCTTTCTCCAAGTGAAATAAGTTAATATAAAACACAGAAACTCATCAATCCTACCTAAGGGATTTTGTCCATCTAATTGTTTAATCATATAACTGATGGGGAAATATTCATTTATAACTGACTTCATCCAACACCCTGATTATAAAAGATTTGACTCAGAGGTAAAGTAACACAAAGAGTACAGGGGTTGATTGATGGTGTTTGTGCATATGAAAAAAAAAATAACCTCATGGAGAAAGACAGGAAATTAAAAATAGAGAGGGGTAGAACCACTGTCAGTTGAGAAGAAATGAAGTACGTTAGAACAGAGAGCAGCTGTAATTGGAAGTACTGTGGGAAAAGTAATAAATTTGGATATAGACGAATATAATCCAGAGAAGATAGAAAGGGGAAGTTTGAAAATAAAAGAGTGCTATGGATTAAGTATTTAATGACAGAAAGGTTTTGTGTAGGAGCCACATATTTGAGAGCGTGGGGATGAGGTGATTAGAGAAACACTATCCACCCTTCCTAAAAATGAATCTATCTCCACAGCTTCATTCCTTCCTATAAATATCATCTCTCCTTAGATAGCAGCCAATCTCATATTCCCTATGTGAAACTAGAAACTCTTTCTGTTTTAGATTTCATCAAGCCCCCAAATTGGCTTTGACAAGCAGACACATCATCATCAAGGCTAACTCTATTAGTGAAGTAGGTGTGCAAAGAATTAGGCTCACAAAAGAACATTTTCTCTTCAAGTTCTGAAATAAACAAAAGCCTGAACTTTTTTTTTTTTTTAACTCCAATCTTTTGGGCCCCTGGGTGGCTCAATTGGTTAAGCGTCCGACTTCGGCTCAAGTCGTGATCTCACGATTCGTGGGTTCGAGGCCCACATTGGGCTCTGTGCTG